AGAAAAGTGGGTGAAGGGAGACATTGGACAGTGTAAGATATGACAAAATAATAATTATTTATAAATTACCAAGGGGTCATGAGGGAGAAGGGAGGGGGAAGGGAGGGGGGGAAAAAGAGGAGCTGACACCAAGGGCTCAAGCAGAAAACAAATGTTTTGAGAATGATGATGGCAACAAATGTACAAATGTGCTTGATACAATGGATGTATGTATGGATTGTAATAAGAGTTGTATGAGCCCCCAATAAAATGACTTTTTAAAAACAGAGCTACATAATCATAGAAATCTTTATTCAATAAAAATATTTGAAAAATAAAAAAGAAAGGAAGTCTTTAAAATGCTTTTTGTGGAATGAATAAAACTTTCTTCTTTTCTTATAGACAGCTTTTGTGTAATGCTCTTCATATGATACAGATATGTAAAAATGAACAAGTACTCAAACTTGTGGGAAGTTTTGTTCACAATTCCCTTGGGATTAACACACTTCAACGGCTGGATTTAGGGGGAGACACCATCTGCTATCAGATGGCTGAAGGAGGCTCACTGGGCTTTGAAGAGGCACCTTAGGTTCAGTGTTCCCAAAAAACAAAACAACTCACTGCCATCAAGTCAATTCTGACAGTGACCGTATACGACCGAGTACAACTGCCCCCGTGGTTTCTGAGGCTATAACTCTTTACAGGAGTAAACAAACCTCATCTTGCTCCTTACAAGTGGCTGATGGTTTGGATATGCTGAGCTTGTGGTTTACAGCCCAATATGTAACCACTACCCCACCAGGCCTCTCAGGTGCTTCAGTGTTCCCTTATCAGTAAAGCTCCCCACTTGCTGGTTCTGATCAAGCTCCCCTTAGACTCACCGTCTGTAAGGTCTTTCTTGACCCTACTTATAAGATTCTGAGGGTTTTTAGAAGGGGAAACAGGAAGTAACTAATGGCACCTTCTCTCTTTAAACACCCAGTCCTACTCTCAATCTTTTCTCTTTGAAAGAAACAATTCCAGGTTCTTGCCTCTTACTCTTTCTTTACAGTTTAAGTTTCCTGCTCTGCTTCATAAGAAAAAAATTAATGAAAAAGGGGGCTTTTAATTGTTCATTAGAAATTCATACATGTAAGCTTTATGTGATAAAATAAAAAGTCAATTATTGAATATTTGAAGTTTATATTCAAAGAAATAACCTACAATGGAGACTAGGGGATGGGGATCCTGGTACATTATTCTAAAAGGTTGTAAAAGCCAGGGCTGATTTTTATATATGACACTAAACTGAATGCTTCATGCCACGGAGAGAACAAGAATAAACTGTTTTTTAAATGCTAAGGTAATTGAGGAAGTCAGGATGTTGTACATTTTTAATATAAAAAGTATTGATATTTTGCTTTGATTCTTTTTAAAAATGTTAGCAGTTTATAGACATATAATTGACATATTATAAAATTAAATGGTTTAAATATAGTAAAAAGAGTTGTGTCATCATTACAAAAAAGTTTTAGAACATTTTCTTCATTCTTGTTCTCATTATTATTGGGCTCTCATTTCCCTACAATTTCCCTTGAAATAACTCTAAGAAAATATACAGTTATTATCTCTATAGATTTACATATCCTTGATTTCACATATAGAAAATAATACAACGCCCCCCCCAACAATAACAAAATAACACACAGAAAAACCTAAATCTATAAGAAAGCAGAAAATAATAAGTAGAACAAAATTAAAATGGGTCAAAAGGGAAAACAAATGTTATGGTGTTAAATTTAAAATTATCTATATTTGCACTTTCTAATGTCTAATTAGAAAATGTATATGTAGTTTTTATCTTTCTAATGTCTGATAGCAAGGTTATTTACAACCCTGCTCAATGGTCATAGGTGAATCACTGGAGCTTTAATTACGTGGGATTTCTGCAAATGGATTTTGAGCTTTCGCTGTCTAATACAATTGTCTCCTCTGGTCTTGGATCTTATTATTTAAAATCCTTGGATCACACAGGCTGATGTGCTTCTTCCTTGTGGACTCTGTTGACACCTCACTTGTTTTAAGACAAAGAATCAGGTTGTTCTTAATGAAAAAAAATTGGCAACCTGGAAGTGTTGGAGAATTTCCATGAAAATATAAAATAAAGCAGAAAGTAATAGATACAAAAATATAAACCTATGATACTAGAAAATCAGCCTCAGAAGCAATCAATTCCCAAGGTTCAGTTGATTGGCATGTAACTTTTTTTTTTCAGTCTTTGGTAGCACAGGTACTGTATTACCTACCATTTGAATATTTCCAAATGAAACTGGCATAGCTTGCTCTTGACCCTCACAAAAGCTCAAACACTGGGCTGGGACCAAAGTTAGAAGGGAAGAAAAGCAAGGAGTCCTGGATAAGGGAGAGTAATGGGGCATGATTTTGTAGTTCCAGAAAGTTCTTGCTGATCAGGTGGACATATGTAAGCAGGAGAGCTAGAGTGGTCAGCTGACTATACCAGGACTTGTGCCAAGCATTTTTAATTGTACCATCATATTTAGTTCCAACAATGTTTCTAATTTGTATAGATGATAGTCTCCACTGGAATATGAAGGGAGGGTGTAAACTGCTGGGGTTTTCTGGGGTGGTGGTGGTGGTGGGAATCATTTCTGACCTCCTCTGACTTGGCAAAACCAGGCTATCGTGACACTATTCAGGGTTTCCAAGGCCATAAATCTTTACAGAAGCAGGGTAGCCTCATCTTTATCCTTTGGAATGGCTGATAACTTTGAACATCAACTTTGCAGTTACTATCCACTCCTTCTAACTTCACATGGGGGATGGAAAGTCAAACTTAACATCAGCCTAAGGCTGATTCCTATGAGGCTGAGATCACACATGCTTTCATTTTCCAACCTTTTCTAACAATTACGACACTAAATGTCCCTTTCAAGGCATTTTCTCCTGCTCTTAGGCTCAAAAATTTATTGCAATGGCCACACAGAAGTCAAAGATGCTACAATTATAGGGTTTATTAAGGAAATTAACACATTTCAAATGAAGATCAAAATCTTCCAATCAGAGTATCTTATTTCCTGATTGTTGTACCCTCAAGCACCCCTCTCTCTGGTCTTTGGCCTTTCAGCCAATGTAGTTGACACTTTGACCTCTTTCTTGCTTGGGCAATGTGTTACAATGTTCTTTTAGCATCGCTGAAAAATGGACTTATATGAAATCTCTTATAAAAAACCCTCAATTAAAACACTAAATAACCTAAATATACTGGCTACCTCTGCTTCGAGGCTTTGTTCTACTCCCCCTGACCAGATGACTTTCAGAAGAAGGGTATCCCATGCTGCTCCTTCACACACTCTGAGAAGGGAACCTGGAGACGAAGCTGGGTCAGCAGCCCTCTAAATCTTGGGGAGCACCTTCTCAAGAATCAGTAAAGATAAACTTTTAACAGGGCCTGCTCCTTGTACCTCTGGCCACAGGAAGCAAGGGCTGCAGGGCCTAGGAGGCTAATTTGGTGTGTAGAAAGCACAACCTGTACTCTTTGGGACGAATGCCCACATCTGTTCTTCCACTGCTGCCAGTCAATACTTCTGCCAGATACAAAGTGTAGGGAGGGGAGTAAGAAAAGGGACAACTCAGTTTGCCTGTTCTGGAACCTCTACTGGTCTTGAGTCACCTGAAGCTCCCTGCAGCTCAGAGAAGGGTCTTAGTCTAAAAGCACATCTAAAAGCAATCATATTATATCCAGAATTCCACAAAGTTCCCCATAAACAATAACAACAAAAACCCTCCTCCTCTTTTCTGCCTGAACACTCAAGTTTTCCAGAGACTAAATAGACCTGTATATTCTGAATGCAAGATTTTAAGGAGCTATTTTTCAGGTGTGTGGGTCCACCAGTGTCTCCTAGAAGCTGCTGGCAGAAGCAATGAGACCCCCAGGTTCCTCAGAGTCCAGCTTTACCTACTCAGTTCAGCCTACCTTACCTCTTTGCCAAAAGTTGGGACTTGGTTCCCATAGGAGAGATGAGGTGAATCTGAAGGTCTCCGCGGCGTGGGTGTGAGAGGGAGATCTGGGCTACCACATGCTCCAGGTAAACCACACGCTGGTCTGAGTGTTCGGCACAGGCACTGGTCAGTGCAGTGGTCCGTAGTATCTGCACCACTGGTATGTTCCTGAGGAGAAGAAGAGAGATCCTATGTAGATGACTGACCTATGGCAGATAGTGCTGGGTTTGGCCATTGCCACCATCCTCTGAATGTGTCGCTGGGTCCTCTGGATCCAGTCAGTAGCAGCAACCTCTTATTCCTCACTTTGGCACTCACCATTTGAGTTCTATTACCTGCACAGATGTTGCTTAACAAAAAGCAAACCATTTTCCACAGAGTTACCCTGGCTCATGACAATCCTACCTGTGCTCCATAGAATTTTCATGGCTGTGGCCTTTTGGAAGTAGATCACCAGGCCTGTCTTCTGAGCTGCCTCTGGGTGAATTCAAATCCTCCAATTTTTCAGTTAAGACCCATGCTTAAGCATTTGAAAGGACTCCTAGACGGTGCTTATCATTATGTAGTTTGTTTTTAGAAATTTAAAGAATAAACTTTTGTACATGTTTGGTCTTCTGTATCCAGAGGTTGGATCTCTCATGGGCTATATTGTGTGTTTTCCTGAGAGCCTTTTGGTGCTCATGAGGCCACTATTCTCCACTGAGCTGTGAGTCAAGACATTTCCTCAACTACTCAGGGTTGGCAAAGACTAAAATCCCACTTTTTTTTAAAGCACTGGCCTTGAAAACATAAGTCACAATCCTGAGTACGACAACAGCAAATACTTCATGGGTTACTGTAAACAGGACAATAGTCTATGAGTTTAGAGGTTACTGTGTTTGATGCTGAGAGAGGTTAACTAATGTGCAAGAGGTTAACTAACTTCATGCAGCAAATGAAAGGCAGAGTATGCTTAAATATAGGAATGTTAGCTGAGGGGTTCATGCCCTCAGCTTCTATACAACATTGCCTCTCAAGAACACGTATAACAAAGAAAAGTATCTATACAAAGAAACCACTAATACAAGAAAGCGACAGGGAATATATCGCATTCGGTAGGATATTTTAATATTGAGAAAATGTCAATACTACCCCAAAATGATCAAATGATGTACAGATATAATGACATCTTGATTCAGATTCCAATATTATTTTTTTTAAGAGATGGGAGAATGAAACACCAACTCTCTATAAAAAGGAAAGGCTTAAGTGAAGTAAAATTTCTTAATATGGCTCTTCCATCCATATCTCTGTAACTCTCACCAAATGCTTAAGGTACATGAAACATTAGTAGAAGGGATTGGTCCGTTTTAGTTGCCACTCCCCTGACTATAAGAACTAGCCATCTCCGAAGCAGGAACAGAAAGAGCTCCCAGGACCCTCAAGGAAGAGGAGCAAACCGTGGAGCACATTTGAGATCTCCGTCTGAAGGGGTGGAGGCTGAGAGCAGAGGCGTCCGAGGCTCTGGCATGGAGATGATGGAACAGAGCAAAAGAGCTAGGCTGAGACCAGAGGTGAGGTGAGACCAGGAGTTCATGAGACAGAAAAAATAGCAGTGCTGAGACTATAAGACTGTGAGGCAGAGTCATAGCCTGCAGAGGCAAAAGCCACAGGACCATGTAGCTGAGAGGTTGAGGCCTGGAGAAAGACTTGGTTGCTTGCATAGGAGAGGGATTGCTATAGACTAATGACTGTATGCTTAACGTTTTCTGTTCCTGGTTTGTGGTAACTTGATAACTTCCCAAGTTCCCTTATTTTTGAGTATTGTCTCTGAGTACATTCGGTGGCCACTGTAATAAATGATCGAACTCCGCAGAAAAGTAGACTTCCATGGGAGAAATGCATGGTGCCAGAATAGAATCAAAGAAGGATGAAGGGTGGATGCATGTCTTGTGGCAATAAGCCCTGGGCTGGTGAGGAATTGGATTTTCCCTCTCCCCGTGTAACCAGAGAAGTTAAGGGTGGTCTCTGCATCATTCTCACAGAGATCGAGGACAAGCAAATCACAATTAAAGAAGGGTGCAGTAGGAGGGCTCTCTTATCCCGGTCTCAAAATATTTCTCAATCTCAAAACAGCCACAGTAGACAAAAAATCTGATGCTAATACAATGACAGACAAGGACCAATGGAACAGAACTGGTCTTTGACAAAGACAGAGCAGCTGATCCTTGACAAGGTGCTGAAACACAATAAATGGGAGTCCCTTTAACATATGTTGCTAACAAAATGGTACATACTCACTTGCAGAAAAAAAGAATTAAGTCTTGTATCTTTACTTCATACAGAAACAAACTCATGATGGATCAGCGACTTAAATGTAAAAGAAAGAACTATAAAGATCATCAGTGAAAAAATAGGGACATATGTAAGCACTTAATCCAAAATAACCCACTACCCATGAGTTGATTCAAACATGGCATAAATATACTGTCAAGCATAAGTAAAAAATATACAAACAATAGATGCCAAACTACATGACTAGGACCTCCTAAAAATCAGACACTTCAGTGCATCACAAGATTTCACCAAAAATGAGAAGCAAAAAGAGAACCCAAGGACTGGGGAAACTCTTTTGGCAATGACTTGACAGGCATAAGGCTGATTTTTAAAATTTACAGAAAACTTCAACAGCTCAACAAGAAAAAGACCAACAATCTGATTAAAAATGGGAGGAGGAGATGAACAGATACTTCACCAAAGAAGGTATTGAGTGACCAACAAAAAAAATGAAGAAATGTTCATGATAAGTAACTATTAGAGAGAGGTGAATCAAAATGGCAATAAGATATCATCTCACCCCAGCATTAATAGTAAAGTTATAAAAACAAAAGAGAAAACAACAAGTGCTGTCAAGAGTGTAGGAGACTGGAAGCCTCAAACACTGCTGGTGGGACTATAAAATGCTGCAACCACTGAGAAAACAGTATGGCATTTCCTTAAAAAGTTGAAATTAGAAACAGCATAAAAGCCAGAAATCCTACTAGATAAATAAGATTGATGGTATGAATACACACACACACACACACACACACACACACACACACACACAC